CATTTTTCCTTTGATTCAGTCAAACAAACTCCAACTGTTGGCTGATCAGCGTGCATGCGAGAAACGTGTGAACGTCCTATCAGCCGCCACCTTTCCTTGCGGCAGCCTAACGGCGTCCTTGCTGGGCTGGCACCGCACGTTCGTTCGAGTGTATACTCCCCTCACATCCTCCCTTTTTTCATGTTCTTGCTGCTGTACTTTGCTAAATAATCCATACACTTTACCACTCCGCGTCCTCTTTGTTGGATCTGCCGATGTCGCCTCATTGCCGCACGCAGTATAACGCTCTCTCGCTGATTCATGCTGTCGCCTCGGACATCTCCTCAGCTGTACTCGGTTTCTTCTCAGCTTCTTCCCTCCAACATTTACTTCGTATGACCTTTCACCGGCTTTCGCAGCCACGACTCCTTTTCTCCACCGCTCCTGTCCATCGGGAATTGGTTCAACCCATACTTCTTCCCCCACTGTCAGCTCAGGTAATTCCCGTGCGCCGTTGTCGTAGTATCGTTTCTGAGTAGCCATTCGCCTTTTCAAACTGTTCTGTACTTTCTCAAGTTGTGGCGTGACAGGGCGCAGAAGTGTTGCGGATGCAGGCATCACAGTTCTGGTCCTTCGACTGTATAGGCGCTGCACTGGGCTCAGGTCGATATCCGTTGAAGGAGTGTTGCGACTCTCCAGTAGCATGAGGTATGGGTCCTCCCGAGTATCTCTAGCCTTCGCTAATAGTCGTTTGGCTTGCTTCACTGCCGACTCTGCCTTCCCATTTGATTGACTGTGATAGGGACTGGTTTGCCGGTGTGCGAATTCCCATTTGGTTGCGAAAGCCTGGAATGCCCTGCTGCTGAACTGGGGACCGTTGTCCGAGACTAGCTCCTCCGATATCCCGTGCCGTGCGATTTGACATCTGAGTTTGTTGATTACTGCCTCCGTGGTCGTATTGGTGAGTAGATCGATTTCAAAGTAATCACTATAGTAGTCCACCGTGAGTAAGTAATCCTTTCCGTTGTCCCAGAATAGATCCACTGCTACCTTTTGCCATGGTCGGTCCGGAACATCATGCAGCATCATCTGTTCCTTCGTTTGCCGAATGTCGTGTGAACGGCACGCCTCACAGTTAGACACATGATCCTTGATCTGACCAGTCATTCCTGGCCAGAACTTCAGTTCTCTTGCCCGATTAATGGTGTAATTTGCACCCAGGTGAGCGCGATGGACATGCTCCAGCATCTCCTTTCGGAGAGAAGAAGGGATTAGGATAAGACTTTCCTTGAACAACAGACCGTCACAGACAGTGAGTTCGTCCCGAAAATTGAAGTAGGGTGTTAATTCCTTCGGGAGCTGCTTCTTTGTTTCTGGCCACCTATTGAGGATAACGTCTCGCAAAGCTGCGAAAGTTTGGTCTTCCTCCGTGAAACGCCTTATGTCTTTCAAACGGTTTTCTGTCACTGCCAGATGCTGCACCATGCTACCTGTCTCGATCTCTTCTAGATGATGTTCGGCCACTGGCGGATGTGTTCTCGACAGGGTGTCCGCGATGAACATCTGTGTGCCAGGTGTGTACACAATGTCAATGTCATACTTTTGGAGCCGGATAAGCATACGCTGCAGACGGCGAGGAACGTTATTCAGTGGTTTAGTGGCTATCGACACCAGCGGCTTATGATCAGTGTGCACGGTTGTCTTTCTTCCGAAAGTATAACCATTGAAACGCTCCATGGCATAGACCACTGCCAGCATCTCTTTCTCGATCTGTGCGTACCGCTTCTCGGCCTCTGTGAGTGCTCGACTGCGGAAATCCAAAGGTCTTCCGTTCCGCAACAGAACAGCACCTATTCCACTCTGGCTACTGGAAACGGCGCACAACTCTGAATCACCTGTGATTGTCATCTGCTGGAATTGATAGGCATTGGAGGACTCACTGTTACAGATGTCGATACATTGCTGCAGAGATAGGTTGCGCTTTCGTAATAGTCGCTTCGTCAAACCTTCGTCATTGATCCCAAGAACAATGCGGTCCCGTATGAGACTGTCCGCCATGCATGTACAGAAACTGCAGGATCGGGCCAAAATCTTTAACTCAGTGACGTACGTGTCAACGGATTCACCTGGCCGCCTGTTCCGCGAAAAGAAAAGAAAAGTCTCGTTTGTTTGGCCTTCGCAGTATTCACTGAACTTCTAAAGAACTGTCTCCAGATTGTTGGCATCTTCGCTCTTGTCGTAACACAATGTCTCTAGCACGCGGCGCGCATCATCTCCTGCTGCGTGTCGAAACATGGCCAAGCGGTACGCCATCGGTTGTTTGTCCAGAAGCGATAAAGTGCAGAAATCCATCCATTTGCTCTTCCACAAACGCCAGTTGCTTGCCAAACTGCGTTCATCCATGTTCAACGGGGCAGGCATTTGAATAGCCGGTGCAGCTCCAATCATCGTCTGGGGGGTACTAATGTTCTTCTCCTTCTCTGACACCACGTTAAAAGTCGGTCCTTCAGGAACAAAACGTATATTCTGCAAACCAAAGGACCAGGCGAAAACGCAGGCAGAGGGCGAGTGAAACATATCTGTATATACAGCTAGTTGGATCCATAATTAACGACCTTTGTGAATGCATGACATTTTTCCTTTGATTCAGTCAAACAAACTCCAACTGCTGGCCAATCAGCGTGCATGCGAGAAACGTGTGAACGTCCTATCAGCTGCCGCCTTTCCTTGCGGCAGCCTAACGGCTTCCTTGCTGGGTTGGCACCGCACGTTCGTTCGAGTGTATACTCCCATCACACTACCAAGTTCGGGCAAACAGGCACACTAATGTGACAGCCAACGAGATACCATATGTGGTGCATTTTGGGTCGGGAAGATCACGTATGGCTATGCACGTATGCTAGAGCTGGGTTTGCTGTCATCCCATGCAACATAGGCCGTACTTGCTATTCGCTACGTTTTCGCTGCAATCTGGTTCAACTGCAGCCCGTGACCAAATTGAGTAAAGCCCATTGCAAAATGAGTTGCAACGCTGATTGAGACTAAGCGTCAAAATTCTCTAATGTAATCAGTAAACCATCGGTCCCACTTGGTCTCGCAAAGCACGTTAATCCATTTGTGAGAATTATATAACAAACGCCTTTATGGTTGATTAGACAACCAACCCGGTCAGACAATGATGTTCGGCCTGTAAGTTACGAAGTTTGCAAGTCGCGATCTGCAATCCACAGTAAAACAACATTTTGTCAAATATTCCATGGTGTGCCTCATGCGCCGGCCAATTTACTGGATCGTGATTGGACGAAGCAGTTGCCACATTTCTTCAATACAAAGCACTCCGTATGGGAGGAGACCGTAAACTCGATCGTAAAGCGATACCCAGATGTAGTAAACGCACACTGGTTGGGGAAGCTCAATAATGTTAAGCCTAAAAACCACATGGCGATTGTTAGTACGTCAGCATTCCTCAACATTCAGCCAACATTCCATTCTTCAAGTCCGAAAGTTGGGGAAGTATTAAAACGACTCCAGCACGTAGGAATAATCGTACCGGTACAACAATCCGAATGGGCAGCACCGATAGTCCCCGTGCTTAAGCCGGACGGCAGTGTGCGGATTTCAGATAATTACAAACTAACAGTGAACCGCTGCACTATCATGGACCGTTAAACTTTGCCGAAAATGGAATATTTGCATGCCGCCTCAGCGGATGGGGTCAACTTCACTAAGCTTGGTTAAAGTCACCCTTATTCCCAAGTGATTCATCGTCGGGGATTTACCAAAGGATAATCGATGTCGTACGAGATATACCGGGTTCTTGTGCATATCTTGACGATTTACTAATCCCCGGTCATACAGAAGAAGTACATCCGCGCACTCTAGAAAGATACTGTGCAGATGATCCGAAAACGGGTTACGTTTGAAGCGTTCTAAATGTGCGTTTCTGGTTGATTCTCTTGATTGTCTTGGATATTGGCTAGATAAAAATGGTTTATATGCACGAAAAAGCAAACCGGAGCCAATTATTAGTGCACCACCTCCACGTAAGGAAACATCATTAGTTCGTTCGCTGTTCACCTAACCTGACCTCCATGATCGCACTGCTTCAGGAGTTGTTGCAGAATAAGGCCAAGTGGTCATGGGAAAGGAAATCGGAACAAGCCTTTCTGAAAGCGAAGAAGCAGCTCATTTCTTCATCCATGAGCGTCTTCTCGGCAATGGGTGCAACTCAAAATAAATAAATTTTATTGCCTGCCATGTGCTAGTAGAACATGACAGAGGAGTTCATACGATCTGCAATTGAATGCAAATTTGTGAAATATGAAAACAAAAGTACATGTTATGCCGTTTCAGATTCATATAGGCGTAAAAGTCTTGCCAAAATTGGTTTAAAAATACGTGAAATATGTCAGGGGGTCAATTTACCGAAAATAAGGGCATTAGGTAGTTGATTTTATGTATGAGACAGGGGCGGCGAATACGAAGCTGCCAAGGCTACGATCTGGAGAGGAATATGGATCGCACTGGTTACATACATGGTTGGGCTTATTACCCGCAGTGGACGTCTTACCCCATTCTATCCTACTCTAGCGCAAGCATGTTCCCTCTACTGAGCTCTGAATCCAAACCAAATATGCCAAAGTTGTTAGAGGAAATGACAGTCAACCACAGCAGTAAACTGAACAATAAGGCTGCGGATCAGTGGTGCTGGTTAGCATATGCAAATCTTTGCGCTCAAATGATAATCTGTCCGCCCTCCATCTGAACTCTCAGTTCTCATTCACTCTGCTTTCATTTCTTCTTTAATACTGGAATGCTTTGTCAGGACAAAAAAGAAGTCTAGCTTATGGTTAGTTAATATGCATGGTAAAGTACGTCACTATGATTTTGGTTTGACCCACTGATGCTGATACATTTCTCTTCGAATTGTTACGTCGGCAGCTGAGGAATGCTTTAGACTAACACTATCGTGTTGTATATTCAGATGTGAACTACCACCATTTTTCATCCCTTACTTTTAGCCACAGAGCAGCAGCGGACTATGCGAACTGTACAGCACTGCATCTAAAAGGCGCGTATGTCACGAATCTTTGGTGTGTCAGGTCGAACACGAATGTGCAATTGAAAATGAAGTGAGTAAACTGTTGGTTTAAATAAGGCTCACGATTGGGCAAAGGTAAATTAGCGTGTGGTTTCGCGATAAGATAGGGTTGAAGTGTTTTGACCTGAGCAACATTAACCGCATGTTTCGCTTAGTATCAATGGAACAATAGTGTAATGCCGGCAAAATCGAGACTTGACACGTCTCGTCGGATAGTCTGTGTGAAAGAAATGTGCCAATAAAGTGAAACGCGCATCTGTGGGCTCACCAATGAATCCACCTTAATGCGCATGCATATCCAGCTACTCCGATTTCGTGGGTGATGGTGATCAAGATGTTTGTCTGCGTCTTGTCTTCACTCGATGAGCTGATTTCATAGCACGCAACATAGAAGGCGTAATGCGTCGTCAACTTTTTAACAAGGATAACACTGGCACAGAAGTGACAGAAGTAGCAGGAGCGTTCCACGGCCGACAGATTCTAAGAGGAAAAGAGATTCCAATGGCATTCCATCCGACTGTATTGGGCAGCCGCTTTCAACTGGTGGCATCTCAGTTTTGTGTTTCAGCCAAGTTTGGCGAGAAAATAATTTGCAGAGGTGTAGCTGCCTAAATAAATGCAAAACAACCTAATAAATAAAACGAGTCAATTAGTTTAAGTAATGCAAGAAGCTAGAGAGTTTGAACTACCGGATAAATGTATCTTTTGAACGTTTACAGCCTGATATCATCCAAGACTGCGTATCACGAGGCATGAGAGGCGCATACATGACGGCATACGTGTAGTCTTGCATTAAATTTAATCTGATTTCTCAAAACTCTAAAGAAAGAATACAATGAGCGGGATGCGGACAATATGGCTTAATAGCAGCAACGACAAACTGAGGATGGTGCTTTGCAAATGAGTCACAATAACAGTGTACAATCAGTTAAACACCAACTAAACTGCTGGTTACGTGTCGTGGTATAGAAAGACGAATAACCAGGTTCTTAGTGAGATGATTCGTAGAAACTTGGACATCACCGCTTGAAACACATGGTTCATTTAGGTTGATAAGCAACAACATAGGGAAAGGATACTCCGGAGACTACGAAAAATTGCAGGTGTGCTTTAAGGAGTCCGCAAGTCGCTGTTCTCAGTTCACTTAGGTGACGGGAACGTTGCAGACCCGTATGCTACATATGTGCAGCCCCACTTTCATAAGCCATCAAAAACAATTAGCACAATTCCGTGGTTTCACGGAACATACAACCAGCAGACTGCTTTGACTTTACTAAGTTTTAAGATTTGAGAATCATTGACATTGCTTCTAGTGAGAAAAATCCGATAAACGTTTTACTTGACTCCGAGTATAAAGCTAACCAGTATTCGTTAAGCTGAATGAAATTGTAAACTACCACCAGGAAACACCTAGTAGCTAATGGAAGAACGTAAGCAACCCCATGAACGTAAGGTGAGGTCTGGTTGCAATGAATTTTGGTAGAGAAAGTGGATTATCTGGGCAGCTACACAAGTGCAGCGTACCGAGTTATCGAGTTAACTACAAAAGTTGCATCCTTGTATGTACATGAAATTTGTAGTCTCGCAACCATAAATAATCTAAACTACATAAAGGAGTACATTTGTACTATCACATTTTCTCTTCCGGCTTCAAGACGAGAGCCATTTACGTCCAACAACACATATCTTTTATGATCTGAATACCTGACGCACGTCATGATAGCTGTTTAATTTTGTCTAATCTTTTGTTTACTACGGTACTGTCCTACCGCCTTGATATGCTTGAACTGTATCGTTGTAATAGGCGTAATGAAAAAATCGAAAGCAGTTGTTTGCTTTCCGTATTCTTTTTCGAATCTGATAAATAAAATGGATATCACACGAAATTTTAACTACTATTCTTTGATGCAGTTGCAGACCGCTAGAGGCAAGACGATGGTTGTGGCAAAATGCACGCATTAGACTTGTGAGATCGTTAAAGTGATGTGCTGTTGCGAAACAGACAATGTTTAAAACCTCAAAACGGAACGCTTTTAAGTAAGATGGTGATTATATACATATATATAGCTATCCCCAACAATGTGCAGTTATTGGGTCATCGGAATCATGGCAGAATAGGAAAACAACATTCGTGTGTAAAAAAAAGAAAAGATGATTTTTGTCCACTTTCTCACACTGTTTTTTCGCTTTTTTGTTATTTTTACTGTAAGATGGAAGGGGAATCACAGTAACAAGCAGAGATGCGCTACTGCCACTGTGTTCGGTTTTGAGCCATGAATTACAAACTTTCCAACTCGCAGCACTCAGCATCATTGGTATTTCATCCATGGAGTCGAGAAGAACCAACGGAGGCTCGCCGTTTCGCCAGTTTTTTCATCCATCTTCTTCAAGTAGAGGCTGTCGACCACGCCGCCACCTCCAGCCGTGTCTGTCAATCGTAAACCTTCCATCCAAGACACACTGGTTGAGTTCAATGTTGTTTACGTGGTACAGCCACCACGCACGAGTCATGGCTGATCGCACAATAAAACCCCCGTTTGCTGAAGATATAGCAAATATGACGCAGGAGGTGGGGGCAGAGCAGGTATTGCCAAACAATGAGCAATTTACAACTCACAAACCCGTACAGCTATGGACCGTGTTTCCTTCCCACGACGCACCGCGGATGAGGAGTTGTGTCACAGGCCATTCCATGTGCCTACGAGTTTGAGCTTCGGAACAATCCCCTCCAGGTTTTCATCCCGTATCTCCGCTTCGCTGTATCCGATTCTGGCCAGCCAGGAGTCGTGTGAAAGCTCACGATTTGCTCTCCTGTGGCTACATCATTCGGCCCGAGTTCAGTCTTGTGGGCTTCGCTAGCGTCGTATTTGTCTGATTCATTGCATTCCCGACAAATACCGCCTACATTGTGCTGTGCTCAAGCTCGTTACCAAATGCAGTTTGTGCTCCACTGGCGGCTCAATCCGCAAGGCTCGCAGTGACTTGTCTCGTCTCATCCATTGCGCCCGCTGGTAATGCTCTGCTATCCCGTTTTCGTTGTCTTTCCAGTTCACGAGTAGTCATAGGCTTCCTCCGCTCTACAAAGAGACCGATGTCATGGCCGTGTCATAAATGCCTCAGCCTGGAATAGGCGAGGCGTGCTCTTGAGATACCCGTCGAAATCTCCTTTCCAACATTCCCACCAGCATTTATGCAGTTTCGCAAGCAAACAAACTCTATACCACTTCTAACGTTTCCCCATGGATGGTGAGTGCAGGTTGGGGCGTATACCAAACTTGAAAAAGCGCTTTGCACTCGGATGGTGTAACTTGCATGCCATACTTCGACGCCTCAATCGCCAGGCGTTTAAGTGCAAGTTGGACGACCTGCGGACCGTCATCCAACAAGAGGATATCCTCAGCGCACTCCAAATCAACCACCCGACTACCTGGGAGGAACTCAACGCCAGAGTTCAACAAGTTTTATAGAGTATTTTTGCGGACATCCTCATTAACAAAGTCGAAGAGGAATGGAGAAATAAGGCATCGTTCTCGAACCCCACTAGTGACAACAAAGGAATGCGAAAATTTCCGTAGGCCCTAACTCTGTCAGAGGTCAGCCTATACAGAACACGCTGTAAGGAAGTGAATTTCCCGGAAATGCCATTCTTCCACAGTCAGTGTCACAATGCAGTCCTTTCGACATAAGTGAAGGCAACAAGTATATCCAGGAACACAACAATTGTTGGCTTTCGATACACATGGCGAAGCTTGTGAACCTGGCTGAATATGAAAATTTGATCCATGCAGGTGCAACCAGAGCGGAACCCAGCCTGTTTTCCTCGAGGCGATTCAAGAGTTGGGGCAGTCTGCGAAGAATGATGAACACCAGACCAGACCGGGAACCAAACGTATACCACATAATTGGACCACATTGTGCACAAGCAGTTTCTGAAGATGGGGAAGACTATCGACTCACTCCAGTATGATGGAACCTCTTTTTCCCAGAGTTCTGAGAACAGAGCGCTGAGTTCTCGCACTGTTCATCGCAAAGTTAAGTAGAATAAACAAAACCTCCATTTCTCTAGCTTTGCGGCAGTTTCACACAAACGTGGCTTTTTTAAACTCTGCGCTACAGCGCCAGACGCATTTTGAACACTGAGGCACGAAAAGTCGAATAGGAGTTCCTACACAGGATTCTGCGCTATCAAGTGCACTCCATCTTTCGGATCTAGCTTATGTGGATTGTCTCCACATTTCCGGTTTTGCTTCATTCCCGCAAAAACAATCGAGGAATTTTCCGAGTCACGAACCACACAGAAATATTTGTGGTCTCAAACGAAAGCTAACTACACGTTTCATCTGACGAATCAGCAACTAGAGCTGTGGACGGTTCACCAAAGTAGCTATCGTCCGTATCGCTCAGTAGCGATCAGACATTGGCGATAAGAATAGTGGGTATTCATGTAATTGGAGATTTTCTTCCACAGAGAAACCCACCATTTGGTACGCGGCTATTTTTTATAGATGTACTTCGTTTTATGTGAATTTTTCTCACTTTATTACCGATCGATCATTCATCCTTGTTAGCGTGCGCAGAAAAACAATAATTTCAAAACATAAGATGTATGAATTATCACTGTACGGATTGTCAGTGAGTAAAACAGTACGTTAATAAAAAGTACCATCGAAAACATGTGGGCCAGTAATAAATTGAAAGGGGAAAATGTAGAGCACGGGCAAACTTTAAGGTCTATGCACAAATGTAACCAATCGTTTCAACGGAAGTTGTAAAGCACGATCGAATTGCGGAGACAGCGGAAGTAGGCAGTTGAGACAAGTAACCAACCATCCAACAACGAATATGATGGAACAAGAACGGCCATCCAGGAATGCCTAGAACTTAGTAAGCAGTGAACAAAATGACTCCAGTGTTAAAACAAAATCGTAAAATAAGTGATCCCACTTAGTCTACTGGTAGTTGTTGGCTCAAGTGTCTCTGGAACACTTAGAGGATAAAGCGACCCTACACATGAAATTCGCCATTTATGGA